AACTTAATGAAATATATACATACTGAATTTAATTCGATTAATATTATTATCGATACATTATATAAGAAAATATAAGATCATACATATTTAAACATTCAATAAAAAGACTGGATATTATAGACATTATGCAAAAAAATTGATAGAATACATCTACACATATTACATTATATATATATATATATATATTAAACCATACACATATATATGCACATACCAAACCCAAAGATAGAAGAAAAGCATGAAAAAAATACAAAGAAAATGAAGTAAATAAAAAGTTTTGGTCCTTTTGGATGCAAAGTTTTTTATGTACTAATTGCATACCTCGATCATTATGATTTGAAAAGTCTTCTGATGAAGAAGAAAAAGAAGAAGAAGAAGAGAAACAATTCAAGCTTGAGAAACAGAAATTCATCATGTCGAATCGACCGTTTCGAATCAGTTATGTGAGAAAAATTTCCTTTTCTTAATGATCCATCAAGAATCTTGGAAATTAAATGCAAGAAAATAGGGAAGAAACCTGAAAATTTTCAGTTGAATGTGGAGCCTCAAGAGAGTTATATATAGAACAATAATGGAAGGAAACGAATTATATATACATAATTGGATATTATTTAATATTAAGTGCAATTAGTCATCAATAGAACACATAGACGACAAGGCAATAAATGCAATACACACTAGACAAGCCCCTAATGAAATTGGACGGTTGAGATATTTGGGTTTACGTTTTTAACATGTATTTAAAACCGTTGGATTGGATTTGATCAACAGGATGGGAATGGGGTGGCTGCGGCTGTCTATGTTGATATATTATTTTATGGTACAGTTTTGATTTTATTTTCATTTAATAAATTTGACTTGTTTGATGAAATTGCGCAGTGAATATAAGAAAGTCCAAATATAAGCTTCGAAAAGTCTATGGAAAACTGGTTGGACCAGGCAATACCAATATTATTATTACAAGTTATGTATTCAAATATGTAGCGCACAGTAATTTCATTTCTTCCTCAAGTTCTATATGCATGAATGCTCTTTTTACATCTAACTCCCGAAGTTCGAAATCATGCATGACCATAATATCAAACTAGGCTCCAATTAAATTCTGTTTAACAATAAAAGAAAACACATTGTGAAGTGTACATTTAGAATCTGATTGTAATATTTTGAAATCAACCTTACTTGGATTCTTCAACTCATGCAGCACTCCTTTATTTCTTCTTAAACACTCATTTACAGCGAGCATTCATGTATTATGTTTGTGAAGTGATCTCATCTCTTCTTATGTAACAATCATCCTTTTGTTTGAATCGTCACAACATACTATCTCAAAATAAAGAGATGTACTTAATATATCTAAGCTCTAATTTACAGTTATTAACATGAGCATCTGCATGACACTAAAAAATCTTAAAATTAGAGTATTTTGTAGGAGTACTGCTCCGTATCTTTTATGGAGTCTTTTTTCTCAATAATAGTGGACGAATATTATTTTATTAGAGAGTATGACGAATTGTAAAGTGTTTCACAATACTTCTAATTTTCATAATACATTAAACAGATTATAACAAAACTTTTGTTATTTCGATAATGTACTTAACGAGTCATGATTATTAAATTTAGTTCTACATATATTTGTCATGTTACAGAATCTATAACACTTACGTACAAATTTATTTAAAGAAAGTCTTGGAGATAACAAATGACGTTGATTATTTAAAATTTTGTATCCCGACGAAGAGTGATGATTATTATATTATATCATATCAATAGTTAATGAGGAGATGAGATTCGAGTATCCATAAATTACTAATAGATTATCAGATTAAATCTAATGAAACTATACTAAATAAATTATTATATTCATGTAACTTTACATACATGAAATGATACGAAAATGTTAAATTATATTCAATATGTGTTGTTATATATATATATATATATATATATATATATATATATTGTCGATGATTTCACAGATTTTCTAAATCTCGTTTTATTTTTAACTATTTTTTTGTAGGATTTTAATTGTGTTAAGAGTGATCTAGATAATATATATTATTATATATAAACTGTGCATGGTAATTGGAGAAAAACATGGGACTCGGTCTTTTGACACAAAATAAATAATTTTGTTTGACCGAAACTAAAGATTTTAACTCAAGAAGTAATGAGACGGTCCAATATTCAAAAGAAACAAACGAGGAAAAGTCGGTCAAGATCTAGAAGTCCACAGCAGTCTTACAATTTTGATCCCTAATTTTTAAATTTATTTATTTATAGGATACAGTCCTACAATTTTGATTTTATTTTAGGACCAGGTCACTTGAAATTCCTCCTTCTTTCCTCTTAGTTAATTTCGTATAAAAATAAAAGATTTATTGGTATATATACATATATAGCATTATTGATATTTGATTTACTAATCGATTAATTTAAGGGGTCTAATATCTCATCCTACTAGATCAATTGATAATTTATACATATTCTTTGATATTTGATCGTTAAACAAAATCAATAAAATCATATAATTAAATGAAATTTTTTATTATAAGATATAAAAAATAAGAGAAATTTAAAGAAAAATATATAAATGTTTATAACTTGATTAAATCGAATCTAGTGAATCAAAAAAATTTAAAGACACATAATGAAAGGGTCTTTGTTACATAAATGTTTATAATTTGACTAACTTGAATTTCACCTAAATAATGGGTACTGTATATAATTTCATATGAACGGATCTTATTATTATCATTAATAGAGTAAATTATACTTGTGACACTTAATTTAGGAATTAAAATATTATCATCAATATTTTAATTTTGTTAATTAGATCACTTAACTATTTAAATGATGATAATCAAACTATCTATCGTTAATATTTAACGGAGGAGGTAATATGTCAATTAACAAAATTATTATAATTATACACTTAATCTTCATTGCTTACACGTTCTATCGATTTGATCTTAATTTTATACTAATTTTTTTAACTATCACATTAGCTTGTCAGTCAAATGTTAACGACAAATAACTTAATTATCATCATTTAAGTAGTTAAATGGTCTAAATAACAAAACTGAAAGATCAATAATTAAATAAAATTATCCTATAATTAACTGGTCACAATTATAATTTATTAATAATAATAATATTATTATTATTATTATTATTATTATTGATGATGATTCTGTAAAAACTATTTTTGTTCTTTAAATTAAGTTGTTTAGATACCAGAAATATCCATTTTCTTGGAATGGATATCCCCTTATGACTATAGGTCCAATTTAGGCCCAAATTAGTATGGACATGAGCATTGGCTTAAGCCTAGAACATTTAAGGTCCAACTTGTCTTAATATGATATGTGTATATTGTTGATACAAATGTTACATATATCTTTATTTTAAAGTAATAAGTATCAATATAAAAATAAAAACATGATTTATTATTTTAAAAAATCAAAGTACTATGAATCATAGGGTTATTTAAATAATTAAAGTATTGTGAAAAATAAGGTAATTTTTTCATTCTAATCTTCTATGAATCATCGAACAAGTATGTTTAGATCTAAGATGATTAATCAATGACTTTCCACTCAATTTAAAAAATATAATCCATAAAATATTAATTAATTAATGACTCTTCGTCTAATTTAAATTCATAAATTGTTGATCAACTTTTATCATTCACAACTCATTTAATTAACGTAAATCTTCATTCCATATATTTAATATTTACCGTTTAAAATATTCTTTTAAAGAAATGTGTCACAATCCGTTGAGCGATCTCAATGGTAAAAGGGAATTTTGTTCTGTCTAAGTTTCAGGTTCGAGTAATATCGTCTACAGAGTGTGTGCATTCATTAACGATTAACTAATAAAATTCTAAACAAATATTATTTTATAATGGTCATATACTACTACTAATAATAATAATAATTAATGAACCTCTCTTTTTTTAATTAGATTATAATAATGAAGTTGATGTTATAATTAGAGCACTACCAACCTCTCTTTGTCCCACTCATATGAAACGATTATATGAAAAATAAAGTAGAAACAAGGGTCACCCCTCACCAACCATTTCCATTAAACAAATAAAAACCTCATCAACAATACATATAAATATAAAAACATTTTAAGAGTTAAAATATTATAATGGGAAGTGAACATGAATTAAACAATCTATCTCGTCAAATGAAATCACATGTTGTTCATTGTTATTTAAAATGTAATAAATATATTTATTTGCTTACCTTTTATTCGTTTTGTTTATTGCGTAATCGTGTTGTTTACAAAGTGAACTACTTTTGAGTTACCAATTATCTACAAATATATACAATTATAATAGTGAATAATGAATAAATAAAATATCATAATATTATATTACGTCATCATCAATTAAAATAATTTTATATTTTTTCTGCTATCATTGTCTTTAAAATATAAAGCGATATTTTCCATTTAAAAAACTATTATCGTAATACTTCATTTTTTCTGAGAAACTTCTAATTTATTAGTGTTAACAATCTTCCTTCTTACTTATCTCAAAGATTTTAATTAAGTGATCAAACTATAATATTTAAAAATATAACCTATTTATAACAGACATAATAATGGAATGATCTAGAATTTTTAATTATAAAAGATTAAACTTATTAAATTCTTTTGAATTATGACTAAATTAATAGAATGCATAAATTTTGAGAGACTATATCAGATTATATTAGACTTTTGTTTCAATTTTAACGATAAATTGATCTAGTTGTAATAATATTTTAATTAAATAATTAAATTATAATTTTACAAACATAAACTTAATAATTGAGTGACCTGAAAAATAGTTAACCCTAATTTATTACTTGTATTGATATGGGAATGCATGTATGGAAAATCTTGGGATTTTGAAAGGCGGTAAGATTTTGTTCAATTTCAATTTTTATTTTGATTATTGACATCCATATATTGTCCAATGGCCAGCATAACCATGAAATCTGGTGTCCACCCCATTTTTGCCCCTTGTGCTATTATCAGCCCGGCTTAGGCGCCTGTCTTCCCCACTACCTTCAATTCCCCGTGTTTCTTCCTCTCATCCCTCCACCATTCTTTCACCACAACACCGCCTGTTAATAACACCAATATCCTCTGTAAAACCATCAGTTTTATTTATGTTCTCACAATCTTAAGGTACCCATCTCTTTCATGCTCTCTTTTATTCTCTTCTTTTTTCATGTGTAAGATCTGCTTATCATCCTTCAGCCTCTTTTCTTATGATGTTTTAGTAGTTTAAGAAAGAATGGATTTTTCCCATTTCATGTGTTTTGCTTTTCGTTTTTTTTGAGGGCATTGGATTGAACGTGCGGAGATTTCTGATCCAGTTAAAAGATATATGCTTTATCTAAAGTTTCTTTCTTTTTCTATCCCCAAGTGTTAATTGATTTGCTGACAAAAGCTTCTTTTGTTTTCTATCCCCAAGTGTTGACTCTTCCTCCTTCCATTGCGAATTTCGTTTGTTACTGCTAAATGTTGGTTCTTGCTTACTTTAATATGGGTGCTTTTTAAATTTATTGAACTGTATTGGATTGTGATCTCGGTGTTGTCTTTCGTTGTTAATATTTGCCTTTGTAATAAAAGTTGTCACTGCGAGTTCATATTGCACCCATGATTTAGTGGGTTATTAGAGGTTCCATATCTGATTTTAGATGACAATTGATCTGATAATTGAACTTCAACAATTGGTCCAAAAGTTGGTGTTTATGGCTACTAATACTAGTTAGGCTCTTCACAATTTGCTTTAAGATATTAATCAGTTGAATCAAATTGGTAAACTGGTAAAAAGGAAGTTAAAAACACAAAAGAGCAAACGTGATAGTCGGCTGCTTGTCTTTACCATGTTTTTATCTGTCTTTCCGACACTCAGTCAATCCCTGATCTGTAAAAGTTACTTGAATGTTATACATGGTTTCCCCTTTCAATGGCTATAGCTGTATTGTGGAATAGGTTAACATCAAAGGCATCCATTGGTAGAATTCGATTCTAAAGTAAATTTGTTCGTTTTAAGCATGGACCTTAAATGCCTAAGTAGTTTCCTTGATCTGTATTCTGTAGACGGTGAGAAGAGCACCGTCACATTGTGTAGTAGTCATTTCGGTTTGGAAAAGTATAATTTAAAAAAATCTAATGAGAAGAACTTTTTTGCAGAAGGTAAGGGGAGTTCTTGTGAATATTTTTGCCAAACTTCCCTTTTGAGGCAAAAAAAATGAGCTTCAGTTTATGTTCTTCTGAACTCATATACCCCGATATAGAGGGTTTGAGGAATACAAAGGCAAATCCAGTGGCATCTAAATCTTTTAGAAGGGCTGGTGATTACATCAAAAAGCATTATTTTCTATCCTCGTATTCTGATGCTAAGAAAATGGTGATATCAAGTCATCTAATTCCTGGCCATTTAGAAGGATCATTCATGGGAAACAAACGGCAGGCAGATCCCAGAAGGAAGCTGGAATTTGTGAGGACATTGTTGATCGATAACTATGATAGCTATACATACAACATTTACCAGGAGCTAAGTGTCATTAATGGCTGTGAGTTTTCTCTTCCCATCTCCTTCTTACTTGTGTAAGTCATCGCGTGTTGAATATATTTTTAGCAATCACTTACTGTATTTCTTATTTAAATTCTTTGTGTTGAATATAATCTTATGTAGCTTAGAGTCAGAATGGATCTGTTCATTATGGTCTAGAATGGTTTTTCGAATATTTTTTAATTCACAATTTCTTTTATTTTATTGCTTCACTCGGGTAAATCATTCCAGTTCCACCCTTGACCTCTAAGCTTTTTTATTTTGTTTTCTGCACTCTGCATGATGGAAACAATTCTTGTTATTGAAGAAACAAACATTAACTTGATGGAAGCTGTCTCGACATCTTTCCTTATGGTCTGCAATTTTTTCAGTGCCACCAGTAGTTGTGCGAAACGATGAATTGACATGGGAAAACATCTGCTCTTTCTTATATGAGAAGGGTGCATTTGATAATATTGTTATATCACCTGGACCTGGTTCTCCAACATGCCCAGCAGATATAGGTGAGACTGTTAGAAGCAGAATTCAATTTTTATATAGGGGCCTTTTGGCTTATATAGAAGACTGAACGAGTAGAGAGTCAGGGCTTCGAGTTATTATGAACAATGGATAGTAATTTAAGTAATATAATGCAATCAGATAGTTTTTGACTTATCTATTTGGGTTTCTGAGAGTTTCTGATAAACCATTTTACGACATGGCTAATAAACCAGTTTGAAAATGACAGGAGTGTGTCTTCAGCTGCTGTTGAAGTGCTGGGATATCCCTATTTTGGGTGTTTGTCTTGGACATCAGGTATTTCATTTACATGCATTTGCAATGCACTTATTACCATTTTTTAATGAAACAAATTTGTTGTAACTTCTTCACTAGTATGTGGTTATGTTTGAATGTTTATTGTATGTATTATTTTCAATTCAGTTCCATTCGACCTTGATAGACTTAAAATAGAGCTATTTAATGAGGCCTTCTAATCTTATCAAAAAAAAAAATAGAGCTATTTTTTTGTTCCTATGCGAAATTCTTTTTCATTATTTAATCTATGATTTGAGATTTTGTTTGCTGGACTTGAAAGTATTTGGTCAGCATTCTTTTTTATGATGAAAAGCTTCAATGAAGGTTCTATTTGCACCTATTGCATTCTGATCGATTTTCTCTCTTTCAGTCTCTTTCATTGGAGTCTGTTTGTCCGTATTTAACTCGATTGAAATTTGATTCGGCAGGCTCTAGGTTATGCTCATGGTGCTCAAATCATCCATGCATCTGAGCCAATCCATGGACGCCTAAGGTATTATGATCTATGATTACAAGTTTGTCTTGTTTGCTTCATAATGAGTTGTGAAAAAATTGGAGAAAGTTTGCTTTGTAACGAGTTTTGACAATTTTCACTTCAACTAATTGTTCATTACATAGCATTGAGTTTAATACTGTTATACACACATGCAAAACCATGTCTTACTTGCTCCTAATACATGGAAAAAGTTTTTATTTTCATTAGTATTTAATGTTTCTTGTTCTGTACAGTGAAATTGAGCATGATGGCTGCAAGCTATTTGCTAATATACCATCTGGCAGAAATTCAAGGTTCAAGGTCAGCCTTCTCTTATTTTTTAGCTTGAATGTGAAAACAATGGTCTCCCCGTTTCTTTAAAAGCTCTGTTGTCACATTAAACAGCCGATGTCAGGAGGTGATTGTGTAGTTTAAGGTTGGTTCTTTATTTTTACAGGTTGTTCGATATCATTCACTTGTTATAGATAGAGAATCTCTCCCGAAAGAGCTCATACCAATAGCTTGGACCTCCTCTGATGACACACTTTCTTGCTTTGAGAAGTTTGATGCCATGCCAGATGCTTATGAGAGTGAGAGTCCACAAGCAAACTTTGATTCTTTTTCAGCACGAAATGGGAGTTATTGCGCTTCCAGACATGTTAATGGAACAAAAAGTAGAAATGTTATCATGGGAATTAAGCATGCTACTTGTCCTCATTATGGCGTGCAGGTAAGCTCATGGATTATCTCGTTTTAAGCTGTGCTTATCTCATTCTATCTGTACTTTTTGCCATTCTCTTGACATCCATCATATTACTTCAGTTTCATCCTGAAAGTGTTGCAACAACTTACGGGAGACAGATATTCAAGAATTTTAGAGAAATAACCGAGGATTATTGGCTACAAAGTTCATCATTCAGCAGTGACAGAAATATCCACTATACTGGTAAAATGAAACTCCTTTTAGAAACATAATTTTGTTATTTTTGTGTTGTGTACTTGCTTTCTACCCTGCCCTCCTCTTGGCTGTTCACGCTCTTTCTGAGATGGGCATTTCATTAAAATAATAACTTGGAATATCATTTTTATGATATTAAATACGATTTTCTTATGGGGCCTCTTATCATTTGTCTGAGTACTGTTTAGACAATTTGAAATTGCTTAATGATTCGACTGAGACATCTACTTTACCTGCTGCTTTTTTTAATCTTCTGCTTCGTCTTTCGAGATGCATATGCTTATCTGAGCAGTAAACTTGTTTTAGCGTCCATGCAGGTACCCCATGTTAATAGACTGTTTGGAGCCATTCATACAGGGAGACAATCAGTGAAAAAGGAAGATATCCGGTTGGATGGAGAAGCTCCTAGCAATGGGGAATTTATGCAAGGTGCAGACCAGAGAACATTTGGATTTTTTGATATGGTCAATGTTTTGCCGCCGAGCGTGGGTGCTAAGTTTCTAAGGTTGAAATGGAGGAAGTTTGATCACTTGGCTAGTGAAGTTGGTGGCGCAAGGAACATATTTTCTGAACTTTTTGGGAAAAATAGGGCTGAAAACACCTTTTGGTTGGACAGTTCATCAAAAGAGAAGGTTGGTTTATCACTTTGCGAAATCTCTTTCAAATGGAACATAGCAATTTTCAGTCATGATAAAACTTTTTGCAATAATGCATTATTGATTATCAGATCTAAGTTTAAATTATCTGATTGGCCGAAGCAAAAGACATAGTAGTCTGTTTAGAAGCAAGTCACCTGAATCAAATGGTCTATATTTTAGTTCTGGCTAGACATAATATAGGTGTAGTAAATAGCTCTATTTTATGATCAACTATCCTCTTGATCTTAATTTTCTCCTTGACATTCAGGGAAGAGCACGGTTTTCTTTCATGGGGGGCAAAGGTGGAGATCTTTGGAAGCAATTAACTTTCAGATTGTCTGAAGAAAGGTTTGAATAAAATCTATTATCTGTCATCTTCCAACTAATTAATCAAAGTTTCTTTTTGTCTTCAGAAATATTTTGAGATCTTTATGCTTTTACCCCGGTCTATTTACATGATTGATTGCTCAACAGTCGATTTTCATTAGTTGTTTTGAGTATCATAAAATAGTTAAGAAGAACTTCATCCCTTTTGTAGCAATGCAACTGGTAAATGCGGAGGTCATTTATTGATTGAAGATGCTGAAGGCTCTACTCACAGCAAATTTTTGGAAGAAGGTTTTTTCGATTATTTGAACAAGGTATTTATGGATTTTGATGGATGTATTATTCATCCCTAGTCAGTACATTAGATAGCTTCGATCGAAGATTTCAGAATATAAAGAGAAATTCAAACATACTTTATATGTTGCTCTCACTCTTTTTTCCTTCGAAGGACTCGTAGCATACATTTGTGTCCCAACATATATCTAGACATAACAGTGGAAATACCTAGGACCCTCCAAACGCATGGAAAAACTTAGAAAGATCTGAACATACCCGTGTCGGAATTCATCCCATTGTATGTTGGTTATCAAATGGAATTCATGTTAGTTTTTGGGTTGTATGCTCCAAGTGTATATAATCTCTCTCGATGACTGTATAAATATGTTGGTTATGCTTCTTCGAATCGCACTGAAAATTATTTTCTGTTTTCATTCTAATTTATATGATTAAACAATTCAGTTTTATAGTAATTCACGTTTCTACTCATGTAACAGGAGCTTTTGTCACTCTGTCATGAGGTAAAAGATTTTGAAGGACTGCCATTTGACTTCTATGGTGGATTTATAGGTTATATAGGGTATGTTGTTTGTACAAATGTTGATTTCTTTCGATTATTTTCCTCCCCTACTGAAACAAAAACAAAATGTTCTTTGAGCTTGATAGCTGCAATCATATTTTACCTCTAGCTATGATTTTATCCGCTTTTCCTTCTCGTGTGTCGTTTCCTTATTCCGATAATACCAACAGTCACTTGGCTCTGAGTGTATTGGGAAATGGATTTATCATGTTATAATCTAAATCTTTCTCATATTGCATGAATTTGCTCCTATTGCAGGTATAATCTTAAAGTAGAATGTGGTGCGGCATCTAATGCTCACAAATCCAGAACTCCAGATGCATGTTTTTTCTTTGCCGATAACCTTATAGTTATCGATCATCATTCCGATGATGTTTATTTGATGTCCTTACACGAAGGAAATACAATTATAACACAATGGCTGGATGATGCCGAAAAGAAGCTTGTCAGCTTGAAAGGTTCTGCCACAAGAAAGTTAGATGAGTGGATTTCAAATGCTGTGGCGAACTCTCCGCATGAAGCAGGCTTTCATTCTGAGAAATCCCGAGAGCAATACCTTAGTGACATTGAGAAATGCCTGAAGTACATTAAAGATGGAGAAAGCTACGAGCTCTGCCTCACAACTCAGTTTAGAAAATTCATTGGGGAAGTAGATCCTTTGAGACTTTATCTTCATCTTAGAGAGAGAAATCCGGCTCCCTATGCTTCATGGCTAAATTTTTCGAAGGAAAAATTATGCATATGCTCTTCTTCTCCCGAGAGGTTCTTACGACTAGACAGCAATGGTATACTAGAAGCCAAACCGATTAAGGGGACCGTTGCTCGTGGTGCAACATCAGAAGAAGATGAACGGCTCAAGTTGCAGTTGCAGTACAGGTAATTCCGCTATCTGTATCTGGTGGTATGCGCATGGTTTTACCAGATTTCGAACCTGTTTAACTAAAATAAAAAGCATGATTGATTTAGAGTCATAATGTATGTTCATATCATTCTCTTATTTCATTTGGAGTTTAAGTATTAACTAGCTCTCACTCTTCCCGCAGCGAAAAGGATCAGGCTGAAAATTTAATGATTGTCGATCTTCTAAGGAATGACCTGGGTCGTGTTTGTGAACCAGGCACCGTACATGTGCCTCATCTCATGGAAGTGGAGTCTTATGCAACTGTTCATACTATGGTGAGTACGATCCGAGGGAAAAAGCAGTCGAATGTTAGTGCTGTTGATTGCGTCAAGGCAGCGTTTCCCGGCGGTTCAATGACAGGGGCTCCGAAGTTGAGATCAATGGAACTTTTAGATTCCATCGAAAGCTGCTCCCGAGGTATATACTCGGGCTCCATTGGATTTTTCTCCTATAATCAGACTTTCGATCTCAATATCGTGATAAGAACAGTCGTCATACACGAAGATGAAGCATCTATAGGTGCAGGAGGGGCAATCGTTGCATTATCTGATCCAGAGACGGAGTATGAGGAAATGGTGTTGAAAACACGTGCTCCGGCCAATGCCGTGATGCACATTAATGTCACTTAGTGTCGCCGGAATCAAATACAAACATTCTTTGACGTTAGTTTTCATTTCAGAAATATACGTCGGATCTGCAGAAAAATGCAGTAGCAATACAATGTTAGCTTAGTTTACCATGTTTCTTATACCGGATTTATTTCTGCCATAGCTAAACCAAAGTTCTTTGTTTCGAACAATGATGTTCTGAACTTTGTACTATAAATTTCTGGCAATACAAATTTATGTCTCTGAATCTACTGTTTTGCTTGTATGTCTCAGATTGATGGATTATATATGAACTTATTATGTATTTATGTGTGTACATATATTAACTGAGCTCAACTTTAAAAAATTGCGGACTATCAAATTTTTAGGGGTAAATTGTAAATTTCATACGTTAAATCATAAATACAATGATGATATGACAATCATATGTACGTGGATTACTATATATATTGACATGAAATCTAATGTTATCCATGCTATTTTTATTTTTTGTCTTTTTTTATCTTCTTCCTCCAAAAATAAAAATTTTAAAATTTTATCATTATTTTACGTCGGTATTACAATTATCATTTTTCGACATCTTTGATCACTCAAGATATCAAAGAACTTGTTGTCTCCTACCATTATATCAGTTTATATTTTACTTAAATCACTTTAAAATTCATAAAACTCAACCTCAAATCTAAAACTCATGGAATCCTAAATCACTCTTATCTATACTATTCACCATTCAATCACCATGGAATCAAGATATACAACTCGCTTCTTCCTTCTCCATCTCCCACGTTAGGATTTAGAAGAAGATGTTTCGTCATAAAAATTCAAAGGAAATTTTTCTCACAAAAATGATGAAAGAAAAATGTTCAATCATAATATCGTTAAATATTTAACGATAAAGTGACCGATATAAGAGCATATTTAAAGTTATGAGTAAACTTAAAAAAAACAATTATAGTGACCAAAATAAAAGTGATAAGAAAGTTAAGTGACGAAATTTGTAATTTACTCATTATTTTAATTAAAAAAAACTAAAATTTCATGTTAAATCACTTACCAAGTTACCATAACCTTGTTCTTAAATCCCATAAAAATTGTAAATATTCTGAAATAAAAAAATAATTATTTTCATTGATTAAAGATTTGTGTAAAATATTTTTTTCTAATTAAACTTGTAGAAGAAAACGAAGAAGTGTTAGGTGAGCATGTTAGTTATAAAATATAAAAATAAAAAATAAAAGAAGCACACCAAGAATCACAAAACCCACCAACCATAAAAAAACCCCACCAACCCACCATCCTCAAAATCCTTCTTCCACCGAATCCTACATTGTCATTTGCTCAATCGCTTCTTCATCTCTTTCCAGCTCTATCCATTTTCGGTTTTCAAGTTTTCAACGCTTTCATGGCTTCTTCCATTACACTCAAGCCTTTCCTTGGAGCTACTAAACCCAACTCTTCCCTTAATTCGGATTTTCAAAGACTCTCTATTTCCTCTTTTCGCATCTCCATCAAACCCAGAACCCACAAAAATCTTCGTAAGTTTTGTTATTTGAGTTTCAGTTTTCAGCTTGGTTTCTGAATATATATATATTTAAAAGATTTTGCTTTGCTTTGTTTTGTTTTGTTTTCTTTTCTTTTTTTCTTTCTTTCTTTGTATCTCTTTATGGGTATTGGGTTTTTTTTATTGATATATTTGAATTGGAAGCAACACCTTTTGTTTTGAAGTTGGGTCTCTTTGCAAGATTATTACTTTCTGGGGAATTAGATAGTTATTAACTTAAAATTTGTATGTTTTATTTGTAATTTTTGTGTGTTTTATGCATAGGACTAGTGATTAGGGTTTGATTGATCACTGTTAGAACTTTGCATCACGTTAATTCAATGTTAGGTGTTATTTTATGTTGTTTTAGAGAAACCTTGTTGTCATCATGGAAAGAAGACGTTTAAGGATGTCTATATGGTATTACAGTGATGCGAATTTATGTAAATCAATGGCCACAAATGTTGACTTTTATGCTATATTTTTGTCGTTATACAAGTCCGTTTGTTCTAGACGAATGTTTGATTTTAGGTTCATATGTTTATGGCAGATATAATGTTGTTATGCTCATTTGTTTTTACCCTGGGAGTGAGCTGGTCTGATCGATGAGATTTTTAAGTCCAATAAATACAATAGGCTAAAGATAAATGTAGAAATCTATGGTGTTACGTGCTAGTTGACTTGATTAGAGTTTTCATCATTAATATTGATGGTCTGTAAAGTACACTGAAATGCTATTTTTTTCTGTTTGATCATAAGTATGTTACATGGACTTGGATGTGAGCTTTGGGTGTGGGCATGTGTCCGACATGGATACACACTACAGTCCCATATTTGAATATGTACGGGGCACAAGTGCTTGGAGAATGAAGAGTCCAGTCTACACATATAATAACCATTGATTTTTCTGTTTGATCATAAGTATGTTACATGGACTTGTATGAGTTTCAAATATGGGCATGCTTCCAACATGGGTACACTCTCTTAAACGGTGTAATTATGTTAGTTTTATAACCCGTGGAATTCTTCTGTGCTTGAATCAACTTTTTGTGAATCACTGGAGTTACCAGGAATTCAACCATTGGAATTACTACGTTGAGGGCGTGTTTTTGTGATGTGCTGATGAAGCTTAAATTATATGTTTGTTAGACATTAAACTTTTTTAGTGTATCCTTGCTGCACCTGTAATATTCTTAGAAATAATTTCTCCAAAAATAATACTGGGGGAAAGTTGAGCTTCTGAAGTCTGACAAACGATACTGCCTAACAGGGATACAGGCAGCTGGGAGCACATTTGGAAATTATTTCCGTGTCACAACTTTTGGAGAATCTCATGGAGGTGGTGTTGGTTGTATAGTTGATGGATGTCCTCCTAGGATTCCTCTCTCAGAAGCTGATTTGCAAGTTGATCTTGACCGAAGGTACTGGATTTTGAGAATTTGGCGTTCTATTTAATTCTTTTGCTTGCCTTTAGATAAGGTCAGTGTGATTTGTGTTCATTGCACGTTGATCTGGTGGTAGTGCTTGTGAACAGGGTTGGCCTATTAATGATGGAACACAGTACCATAACTTCTTTTTAGTCATATAATATTTCATCTCTTTGATGCAAATATCTCTGTTCTTTCGGACTAATAGTCAAGAGATTTCTGCAGGAGGCCAGGTCAGAGCCGAATTACTACCCCAAGGAAAGAGACTGACACATGCCGAATATATTCTGGAGTTTCTGAAGGTAAATCTTCTTTTTCCCTGGGTCTTTCGAATTTTTAGCGTTATATTGAGCCATCATTGTTGCTGTTTACTGTTCTTTTTTGTGTTTAAATAGAATTTCATGACATACTGCAGGAGTGACTACTGGAACACCTATCCATGTATTTGTACCAAATACTGATCAGAGAGGACATGTGAGTATTATATGTTTCTAGTCTAAAATGGGAAAACTAAAATGAAGTTGAACAATCATTCTGTTGGTCTTTTGACTTCTGGCTTAGGATTTAAAATGTGTACAATATATTTTGAGACGTCGTTTGAAATTAATCTATTTTTTGGTTCATCATAAGAGAGTTGATATTACTGAACAATAAATGGAATGATAGCTCATTAAAGAACCAAATGATGCAACTATATAAATAGTGAACGAAACCTGATTATGCAATCAAATGTCATACCCATATAAGCCAAATTAATCAGTTAGATAATGTGAAAATCCCCTTCAAAAAAAAAATCTCTAGTTGCCCCCTCCCCCAAAAGTCAAGTGCCAAGATCCATCACTGCATATAAAACAGCAAACATTTGCTCGGTTTTGATTTCATCATTTGTTCCTATGGGATCTAGAAGGATTCATTAATGATTCCATTCTACTTTCAGGATTACAAGGAAATGTCAATAGCTTATAGGCCATCTCATGCAGATGCAACTTATGACATGAAATATGGTGTCAGGGCGGTGCAGGTAATACCTTTTAGTTATCAACCCAATATCGCATTCTGTTCCATCATTTTTAAGAGATACTGACTTGTTTGAACTCAATCATCTGCATTGAACTTGTAACTTAAGGGTGGTGGCAGATCATCAGCGAGAGAAACCATCGGAAGAGTTGCCCCTGGAGCTATTGCTAAGAAAATTCTCAAGCATTTTTCAGGAACTGAGGTATGCTTCATGCTAGTGGGGTTGAACATTTATCCTTTAATCTTGTCATGTGTGATTGAATTTATCTACTCCATTCTTTGAATTTGTGACAATGTTTGTACTTGGTGCATTAGTTGTGTGCTTGTTTAATATGTTTGCACAAAACAATAAATCCACGATTTTACTAACAAATACAAAGATATAGCTGTTACCCTGACATCCGTGTTTCACATTCAAAACATCTGTTTTGTGTTCAACTAGATGTTTAGAATCACTACAACTCTTCTTTAACTATGTGTTAGGATTTTCCACTTATATTACCGAATTGTCTGTCTTTTTATCTTTGGAGTTTCTTCTTAATGTTTGTCTTGTCTTTCAGGTTCTTGCCTATGTCTCACAAGTTCACCAAGTTTTGCTTCCAGATGGCTCAGTTGACCATGACACTTTAACACTTGACCAGGTCTTGAACTCGGCACAATTACTTTAGTCTTAATCTAAAATCATCTCTTTCTTCAATTTCCTCTGATTTGATTTTTCAATTTCTGAATTGCGTTTTTCCCAAGATATATTATTCATTTTGGCCTACTTTCATTTCTTACCAATCAGTTTTGGCCATTATCCAACTATTTTCAAAATGTTGCCAGATAGAGAGCAATATTGTAAGGTGCCCAAATCCCGAATACGCCGAGAAAATGATTGCTGCTATTGATGCTGTACGGACAAGAGGAGATTCTATTGGCGGTGTTGTCACATGCATAGTGAGGAATGCCCCACGTGTATGTAATCTCTCCTCTCTGATACTCGCGTTTTACATTGAAATTTAAGATAGCCCTTGACGTTAAAATGATGGAAATGCTTTAATTATGCCATCGAAAGTCTCCTGGAAGTTTCTATAGAACTGAAAATCTACATTCCTGTATGTCAGGGGCTTGGTTCGCCGGTTTTTGATAAGCTTGAAGCAGAGCTTGCTAAGGCTGTAATGTCTTTACCTGCAACCAAGGGTTTTGAATTTGGAAGTGGATTTGCAGGTTAAGAAATTTCTTATACTTTCGTGGTACTATTGTTTCACTTCA